ATTGTCGGTGGTGCTAGAATCGAACTGGCCCAAATGCCCAAATGCGACATTGCAAAAACGTAGCAGGCATCCTCAAGCAGAAAAGCACTCTCATACCTGTTTGCAAGGGGCGTTGGAAAGCAACCCCGTGCTTTTTAAACTTTTGGAATTTTGGGGGGTCTCTGCCCAGAAAAAGCGCCCGCTCCCTGGTTACGACAAAGATCAGGGAAGAACAAACACGGTACTCCTAGAAACGGCCAGCCATCTCAAGGAGAGGCAGTGATAAGAGTTGCGTTACTCCCAGACACAAATCAGGGGAAGCGGACAGACAATAGGACAAGGGCCGTGCGAGAATCTACTCTCCAACGAGGGCACGACACTTGCTCACTGAGTCTTGGAGGAAACAACTCTTTGTGCCCTGTGTTGGCATACAGCTGGTTGCATGATGAACAATTTTGCCAGTTACTGCATGCAAGAACCAACAAGTTCGATGTCTGCAATCAAAAGCCTCATCTCACAGATGTTGAAAAATCAAAGGATAACTGCCGATCATCCTACAGAAGTGCTGCCTGCATTGAACGGGCCTCATCATCGACCTGCGCCAAATGATTCTCGGAGCCCACCTGGCACCCACATCTTCATGATTGAAGCCTTTTACTCCGTCACTGCAATCCGTTTGGATTCGTAGTTCCCTGATATGTTGTCTGAGCGACGCCAAGTCAAGCATCTCTGCTAAGCCCCTGCCGCCAAATACAGCCGGGTCAGGATTGGTAACAAGCTTTGTCTTGTTAGGCTGACACGGGGCTTCCTGTGTAAAATAAGTGCTGCTTCCCTGACAGGACAGCCCTATGCAAGGCATAACATCAAAATGCACAGCCCAACAGGCCCTCTTTGGCAGGTCGTTTGTCAAATGCAGGGGTTTCTTCTTGGGTACCCCCTCCGAAAGGTTGACCACCGTTCAATGGTTTCAAATGGTTAGTCAGGACTTGATTCCAAGCTGCGATTGTAACTTTGTGGCTGGCTATTCTGGCTCAACCTACGTAGTTTCTAAACCAGTTGCACATTTCTTGAGGAATTGGTGACCCATTTCAACCCCGTCAAAAGTCGGCACCAGCGGGACAAGTATGCGCATGAATTTCTCCAAAAACGAGGAGCCCCTCGGTAAAAGGATGTTCATCCTGGGTGAGCTCATTCTGCTATTCTGGGCTCTTATAGAAGGCTTACACCGCGGATGGGCACCAGGCTGCCCATAGGCCATCAAGACGCTGAGTAATGTAACTCCACCAGAATCCGACCGGAAAGAAGCAAAGCCGTGCGAAAACGTGGCAAAGGGTTAGCCAACTAGGGGCCCTTACTCCAGCGATTCGAGGCAGGTTCGGCTTTGAAACCCCATGTGATGGGTACCCGACATGGAGTCTCTTCAAGAGATACATCGCTTCTTCGCAGAACCGTCAAAAGGCCTCCCCAAATGTGACAAGGTCGCTCCAATTCGGAGCGAAGCGTTTCCATTGCCTGTCATTAGCACCTGGACTTATCCCGCCTTCGAATTGCTTTTGCTGAGCTGAAGCAAGATGTAGGAGACCAGCCTGGGGAACTCACACTTGACAATTAAGATGGTGGATCCGCACGTATCTCGACTTGTGATCCTGTGTTGAACTCGATTGGTAGCACAGTGCGAATAATTGTCTTCAAAGCGGGCCAAGGTCACAGAGATTCTCATTTCGGCGAGGTGTCAGCAGGCAAAATAAGCAAGCCGGTAAGTCATTTGATGGCTTGATGTCTCAATCTCAAACTCGCTGAACAGTTGCCTGCTGGGATTGTTGCCCAGTGATTGTCTTTTACATCAACTCTGCTAAGAGTTCGTGCCATTGCCACAACGTCTGCGACGCAACAAAGGCTATTGCACTGATAGCAGCTGCCAAGGATTAAGAATTGCTAGAGATTAATGCTCCCTCCAAAACTTCAAGCCAAGTCGATCCTAACCCCAAATGTCCCTGCAAGAGTAAATCGAATACACAATTTGGTAGTGCCCTGCACAACAAGATTCAGAACGAGATGGCGGGGCGTCCTACATTTGATTAAACTGGGAATGGGACGTCCGTGTCGCCTGTGTTTGCTCAGGACAGTGATTGCAAGCGTTTGGCTAGGGATAATTATCGGTCAAGGCCCATAGATGGTAAATGTTGTCAGGAACCCATGTGTCCATCGGCGAAGCTCTATCATGGCAAGCAAGCCATCACGTCAAATGCTTGACTGTCATTGCAGCTCCGTTAAGCAAAATCCCAAGCAATAGACTGAAGGGCTGAGAAATGTGTCGTCCATACCTACAACTGATCTGAGGTGACTGGGCAGGAAGAGTTTGAGCTTGGGTCTGTCACAAACACTAAAAGATCCAAGAAACCTGAAAAAGGTCCCTGCCAGCTCCCAAGAAAGGGGGTTCAAGGCTCCTTCACCAGGCTTGCCAGCGATCCTTCTTTTTAGAAACCCTCAACCCCAAACAAAAAAGGCCATCTGTAGAAAGGAACGATGGCTTAAAAGAAGACACTTTTCCACCATAAGCCGAAAATACTTGGAGCTTAGTTAGTTGCTTAGTTAGTTGCTTAGCTAGTTGCTTAGTTAGTTGCTTAGTTAGTTGCTTAGTTAGTTGCTTAGTTCCCAACCCCCAAGCCCCACCTTTCAAAAGAACCCAAGAAACCAGACCCCGGGCGGAGCCAGGCCCGGCTCAGCCCCTGACAGCAGCACAGCTACTGTCCGCGGGTCCACCCTGAGCGAAAAGGGACGAAAAACCATCCGCCTCCTCCAGCAGTTTTTCGTCACTTGGCATAGGACATGCTTCATTTGTTTTGACATTTGGCAGGGACATAAAAAATCAGGGAAAGGATGTTTGTTGGCCCTTCGGGATCGAGTCCTTCATAAAGTCCCTTCTATGGTTTTAAAGAAGCGTGCAAGTGAAGTCTGACAGGGGAGCAGCTAAATCTCTGGGGCCTCAACGAATGAGGGTGTCCAAAGATTTCAGTCCCCCTTCTTTCGAACGATGAAGATCAAAGGGGAGACCGTAGCGAGAAACGAGCCACTTTTAGGCACGCCCGTTCCTCATACCACGTTGCTAGAAACAGAGCGTTGCTTTGAGCCAAGCCTTGTGTTGGCATCCTGCTAGCTATTGACTGGAGCACTGGTGTTCGTACCCTTCAAATGGCCCACACGCCAAATTCGATCTGTGGCCTCCGTGAGGCCAAATTCGCTCCCCAAGACACGCAGCTGCTTCGTTCCGACCACAACGAAGCAAAGTCCCAAGGACTGTCCAGCTGGCTGGGCGGCAGTCCTATTGCATGCCAAACCGCAACCATCCACGAAGCTTCCTTTTTTTCCTTTTTGCGGCCCGAGCGGCGTGGCAATCCAGGTGGTGGCACTGTCCAAGATCTCCATGGCCAACATATGGGCGCAAGTTTTCTGGGTCAAAATCGCTGGGCTTTGAAGGCTTCAGGGTCTTTAGACTATCTTGCCCCTGGCGTGTCTGAATGATTCAGTCCTCCGGAATTGTAAATGGCCGTGAGGCCCAGCACTCATGGCATCTCTTCATTTGCGTGAAGTCACGTGCTCAAGACCATGTGCCTGGGCATCCGTAACTGGATTACAAACCGCCTCGAAATGACACCTGAATCCACACTTGCTTGAGAACCAAAGCAAGAGCCCTGTGCTACTGGCGCCGTGAGTGTGAATCTCCTTGTGTGTGTGTGTGTGTTAAGCCAGTCGACTATCTCTGTCGTCCAAAAATTGGCATGCGATTGTATGGCTGCGGATTCAAGGAGAAAGAAGGCTTCGCACCCGGCAAGGCGAAAGCCTGGAGTGTTTGAAAGCACATGATTGAAAGCTTCAACAAATACGTCTTGCCGCTCCGGGAAACGTCCGGGAAGGACGTATGATTTACAGTCGGCCGCCAAGTCCACGCACGCGTGCAAGATGTAAGAAGCCACCAGGTAGTTATAAAGATAACAGCCCCTTTCAAGCTGACAAATGGGCGCCCCAAAGGGGCCCTCACTGTGCCAACGCTCAAAATGCAGTTCTTTTGGCTGCCTCCAAGCCCGATGCAAAAGGCAACAACTTTTTATGTGACGAGCCCACTGATCCTGGCGCGTGCAACAAAAAATCGGGAACCGGAACGGCGGGTCCTATGATTGGTGTCTCACGAAATGAAGCCTAAAGACAACTGATCGTCCCTAAAGACCTCGATGTTGGCAAGCACCCAGTGTTGAAGACTCCCTAGCAGCTTAGAAAGCCGCTCGGCAATCTAAGCGCAGTTTTGGAGCAACTCGCCAACTGTGCCGAAGTCGTAGGTTTTTGGACCATGGTGCTGAACTCTTGCCTGGAATGGAATGGAACAGCACCTGGAGTCTCAATGACCCTTAAAAGATGGGGTCATTACCCAAGATGGGGTCATTGACCCATTTTTAAAGGGTCATGGAGACTCCAGATACACCTTTCAGCCATGAAAGCGAGCCGAAGCACACTGGGTCGACAGACAAGCCGCATGGCACTTGAAAAGCCGCTGGCCGCTGACACGACCCTTGCGCGCAGAGTGTCCTCGCCGCCACAGGCTGTCGGGTCTTCTTGGCGGGGACGACCCCACGGATCGCGTACAGGTTCTCCGGACGGGTCTTCTTCTCGCCGTCTCCCTGGCTGAGGCTGCCTGTCTTCGAGTGTTCCTGCCGCCCTCTCCAGACTTTGAGTCCCACGCCTCGCTCTCGAGTGTTACGCCGTCGCTCGAGTGCTTCGGGACCCTCGTTCCCCAGCCCACATTCCCGTGCGTGCTCGGTGCGGTTCCGTTTCCCCCCTCCCTTCCTGGGGCTTAGGGTAACACAGTAGACTCTATCGCACGTATTCTGCACAGACCGCAACGTACACGCTGCCTTTGAAGAGGGAGCAGGCAGTCAGCAGGGCCTGTGCGGAAAACCAGAGAAGAACCCAAAATATGTTTGGCGCTTTGCTCGTCGTCATTCCTTCGAAACACCGATGCAAATGTAGCCACGGGATTTTGGGCGACTGCTCCCCTCATGCACGGCATATTCTATCGCAACTGAATTGGCCAGCATTTGCGGTCTCAAGACACTGGCTCGCCGTTCAGCAAATGCTTCTCCAGATATTTTGCTACGCCGTCCTCCTGGCCGAGTCAGGGCCTCATGGAATTCGGCCATCTTTCTTGTTGCTGTTTAGGCAAGGTTCGCTTCAAGAGGGGTAGCGGGAGTTGTCTCGAAATGGAATGGAACCCTGAAAGGACCAGTTTTGCTTTCCCTCAAAAAAAGTCCCCTCAAAAGGACACAGCCACATGCTTCTCCTTTCCGACCAACACCTTTTGGTCTCAACACTGGCAAACATGGCTGCACCTCAGCCCTATTTGCCAAACAAGCATCTGTTCTCGATCTTTGGCATCCGAAGCCTTCAAACGACTCGAAATGTCTTCTGCCGGAAGCCTGGCAACACGCCCCCCCCCTTTTCTGCTGCTCCTCGTTGGTAAGCTCCGTGACATCTTTGCCTCGGAGTCAGAGAACCATACCCGTCCTCAAGCCGGCTGGTGCCAGCAAGTCAGATCGCCGTCCGGTGCAGAATGCTCGCGGCACAGCACGTTCCAAACTTCTTTTTCAGCCCCGTCGAGTGGCACAGAACGGCCTCTTGCACATGCAGCGAAAAGCATCCCAGAATTGGATTCTCATGCATTCGCCGTCTGCCTTTCAGTCGGCAAAACAGGCGCTTTGTTGTATCCACCGGCAGGGAGACCCCGCAACCAAGTTGGCTCGCAGCCTCTTCATATAAGGGGATCATGTTTTCCGGCCTAATGTGGATACGGGAGGTAGTTTGCTAATGCTCTCAGTGCGAAGGTCGTGATGGCCTGACGCAGTCCGGAAGTGGATGAGCTGTCATGGCTGCCGGGTGACCCAGGTGGGTTCAACGGTCTGGCAGGTAACTTGATGGGTGAGCACTTGATGGGCTTGCTACCCGATGTGGGTGAAACCCAAACTTGCCGGCTGAGGGAATTTCCGGATTCCTTCCGACTGTGACATCCGAACCAACCTGTCGCTTGGCATCGCCAACCCAACACGCGTACCAATCCCAGTTCTGCATGAAGAATTCTCGAAGTCATGGACCCTCGGCACGAAATGACACCAAGCTAACACATCACCTGCCAGGCCTCAGCTGGATATCCAGATCCGGCACGGTGCTTTCGGCGCAGGGCACGTAGCCTAAACCGGTTCATGGCGCAGGAAAAAAAAGTGGGCGAGCGGCGAGCCGGCAGAACCACGAGAGTGCCCCATGTGCTCGAAGTGAGGCTTCGGAATTCCTGCTCTTGGATTGCGGGAAATGAGAACGTGAGCCAGTGGGAGCGGCCTTTTCCAAACGAGCAACCTGCAAAGAGCGCTGGGTTTGGCTTCCCCAAAAGCATCGCGGAAGTGGTCACCGGACCTCTTTCGCGAAATTCAGGGCCTCCCAAAAAACCCTCGCGAGGCTGTCCTTTGGTGAGGCGTTGCAAAGGGCCGCCGCCAGGCTGGAATCACAATAACCAACACGCGTAGGCGAGAATTCAAGCCGAAACAGGAGCGCACCCAGTACCCCAGAGGGCAGTGATCGTAAGGGACACCATGGACCGTGAATAGCGCCAAAGACAACTAGGGCAAGCCTGACGGCATGTCGCCCTGTGATGCATCCACATGAGTTCATTTCTTTGATTCCAACGGCCACACATCCCTGAAATGAATCGGCGTGAAAAATCGTGTAATTCTGGGGGGTAACTTCCCCATTCTTTCCAGATATCCTTCTTTTCAGGAAACCATCGAAAACCCAGGGGAAACAGATCCAGTTTTTGAGAAAAGAACGATGGTTGAACAGAATGAAAAAGGAATCAACCCCTAGAGTACTCCAGGCCTTTGCCTCCTGAGATCCCTGCGGACGATCCAAAAGCCGTCCTCCTCCACAGGCAGCACCACTTTGCCGCCTGGCGAACTGCCGGCGGAGGGAGAGGGGGGGTCTTTGGCCCTGGGCTTGAAAGAAGTCCATGCTTTAGCGAGCTGTCCACAAAACATGTGGCTGTGGGTCAAAACTAATGGGATTCCGTTTTAGGTGCACCACCCATTTTTGTCCATTTTAGTGGGGAGTGGGATGTTCACTGGGGGCACGGGCTTTTGACCCATGGCCATGTGGCTTTCAACTTCAAATGCCCTCTTTTTTCCATCACGGAGGCTGGCTGGTTCTAGTAGACGCAGAGAAGTTGCAACGCTCTCCAGATGGCGCGCGGAACACCCATTGTCCAGTGTTCTGTGGCGAGCAAACTTCAATTATATACCCTCTTTTCATCACAGAAGCTGACCGATGGTCGAGGGCTTGCCCGTTCGACCGGTTTGCCTTTCTGGATAGCAATGTGCTGCTACATTGGAGCATCCAACCCAGGTCACAAAGGCTTCCGTCACTCGCTCTAGCAAGATTTGGGTCTCTGGAAAAGGCACCAAAAGGCACCTCAACATGCTTTCTAGGTCCTCCAGTAGAGAGGTTAGAATAAGGGTACCCTTTTTTCTGTACCCTCCCCAAAAAAGAAACGGTCAAAGGGCACGATCCTGGGGACCTAGCTTTGGCCAGAGATGGCAAGCTCCCGCTCGTGGCTAGGAAATAGACCACAACCGCCAGGGCTCAGAGAGGCGAACGGCTGCCAGCTGTCTGAAGACGAAGCCCCAGAGCAGCGCAACGGCGCCGGAGGCCGCCAAGCTGTCAGGCCAACCGATGCCATACGGAGGCTCCTGGATTAGCTTCCCCCATAGCAGGCCCCCCAAGCCAAAGGACAGACAGAAGTACGTACTACTAGCCAGAGATTGCATGGTAGCCCGTGCACCTTCAGGGGCAAGTTCATCCGCTCGCTGCACAGTGACGAACCACATGGCAGCGAAGTTTATGCCATGGAGCCATTCGTTGCACAGCGCCAGCCATGACATGCTGGGAGGAATGAGGGCATATCCCACGCAGCGGACTGCAAGCATAATCTGGCAAAGGTTGATGACTCCTTTCCATGAAACCTGCCAGCGCTTCATCAAGTCGTCAATGAAGTGAAACACTACAACTTCAGCTAGGCACATGAAGAGGATCGCGACGCCTACCGTTGCACTTGTGCAATGTAGAACATCCATGTAGTAGACAGCGCCGAAGACCTCAATCAGCGAGAAAACCAGGCCGTAGAGAAAGAGGTTTGCAAAGAACACGATGCTGTCATAGCTTCTCAAGCAAGTCAAAACAGCATGAAGGCTTAGCGCGCTGTCGGCCTTGTTCACCTGGATATTGGGGATGAAAACTAGAAGCAGGACCAAGAAGGGAACCTGCAAGGCAAGAAAAGTGTAGAACACTGTGTTGATGCCAAAAACAGGGATGGCTGCCCCAAGCACTGCGCAAATGATGCCACAACCACAGCAGTTCAAAGCACGCATGCTTCCGTATGATCCGGAATTCTCTGAGACAGACAGGCACAAGCTGTCGATGACACCCATATCACCAGCAAGGAAGAATGAGACAGCAACACTAGTGGGCATCAGAGATGTCAGGCTGCTTCGCACACATGGGAGCAAACAGCACGAAGCAGACAGCATACTGAAAAGGTGCGACACCAGCAAGACTTGCTTCACTCCGCCAATCCAGTCTGTTAGCACGCCCCAAAACACGGAGCCCAGAAAGGAGCCGATGAGGCAGGACACGCTGAGCATTGCCAGCTCGGTCCCTTTGAACCCCAAGTCGTGCCAGAAGACAATGTTGAACCTCAAGATGCTGCTGATCGTTGCGGAGCTCAGAAACTGGAGCAGCCCTGGCAGCCACCACCGAACGGGCTGCAAAAGCCCATCGACATTCACCTCGCTCAAAGATGGCTCCAGCAGATCCAGCTTCTCGAGGCTCAAAGATTTCTCCAGGTTCTGTGTCTCCAACTCTCGCTCCATGTCACTTTCCCGGAACTCGCGAGAGCCACTTCCAATGGCGGCCCACTGAGCCACTGGAAATGCTGAGGCGGAAACACCACGTGCTCAACGTCCGTTTTTCAATCACCCCAAAAACAGGTCGCAGGCTGTCAAAATAGGGAACTGCGTTTTGGACAGCTGCGAATTGAAACCAAAAAAGAGGCGACCCTTTCTAGAGGAGGTTCCTGCAGACCCGTGCCGAGCACTCCTTGTAGTTCAGCCCAACGCACAGGAAGGCTGGCACGGCTGTAGATCGTGCAGAACCTTGGCTGACAAAAAAATCAAATAGCCCTAAGAATCATTCCCAAACATTGGGGCGGTCCGGTTTGTGGTTGGTTTACGTGCCTTGCGTTCAGAGGATCAGCCATACCGGGAAAAAGGCGTTCTTGAGTCTGGAAGTGGCCTCTTCCTTTGGGAGCCTGCAAAAGGGGTCTCAAAAGCGTGTCGCTGTTTTGCATTGTCTGGCTATTGCTGATCAAATCTGCATTTCGCCAAAGCTTCAGGGGAGGATGACACGGTTTTAGGGCTTCGTGAGTTTGTTGCAGCAATGTAAGATAGCCACATGCACATCAGTGCTTGCAATGCATGTGGACTGTGCAGCATAACATGGTTCTGCTGCGCATCCCCCATTTCTGCGTGGTCGAAGCTGCCCGTTCAAAACATGTTGCATCTTGTGTCTCTTGGGCTTATCCCTTGGTCAGGTTAGACTTGAATTTCATATCTCGTTTAATCATTTCCGAGGCCAACGTGCCTGCAGGGAAAGACTGCATGTGTCTGATTTGGATTTACCAGCTGCCTCCGCGCAGTCACACTTGTCCGTGTTGGGGGGTCTTATTTGGATCCAGTCAGCCCGCTTTGTGCCAAAAGGGGGGCCCCCTCTTCTTCAGGGTCCTGAATGTCCGCAATCCCTCTATTCAGCGTGTGCTAGTTGAGCGGGGGAATGGCCCAGCTTTGCCGCGTCTTATCTGCAGCTACGGGGCCCAAGGGCTTTGGATCCATTTTTTGTGTGGCTTCCGAGTCTCCATCGCAGGATCTCTCAAAAGCATCTCCGGTAGCAACACATTTCTTGAAGTGATTTGGAACGGCGCAATGGCACGTGCTTGAAGATCGCTTGTCCTGCGGTGTTCTGAACAAGAGGAAACTGAGTATGTCTTGCGTTATACCCCCCCCTGCTTGGTTGTCTTGTCATGCTAGTTGGTGTACACCCCAAAAAGCGGTACCCTTGCCTGTCCGGCCCAAATCATGTGATCTCAGAAAACTGGTCCAAGGCCTGGGTTCGAAAAAGAACGGCCCCCGTTGATCCATCCCTCACTCCAGCCGCGCCGCAGGCGGCCTTCGGAAGCGCCAGCCCCGGAGGCAGCCAGCTGCAGCTCGGCGCCCGCGCGGCAGGCGCCGTAGGCGCTGCAGGGGCCTCGCGCTGAACGGCTGCTCTGAAGCAAAACATCGGAGCGCCCAACTTCAACCAAACAGGAGGCAAACCTTGGACTGGTGTGCAAAGGGTGAAATGCCACTCGGACTTGCCAGAGATATGGAACCAAACAGAGCGAGAAAA